TTGCGCCACGTTCCGCAGAACCCGCTCGACGTCGCCGTGAGCCACACGCTCGCCCGGACGACGCGGCTTCCTCCGCAAGAACCGACGCCACGCACACCATGCACACCCACGACTCGATCAACACTGCAACGGCCATGCAAACAACCATGCAGCAGCCATGCACTCGTGATCACGACTCAACCAAACTAACAGAACGCACACGACGCACACATGCAGCAGCACGACACACACACACTGACTCAACCACGCCAGGAATACACCATGACGTGTTTATTTCCAACATCCACTTTGCTACGTACTAGAGCTGAGCTCTTTCCATCGCCATTCCGGTCATCTCCCGTACTCCCTTTACCGGTTGCTGCCCTACTCATGTGAGCCATGCCCTACTCATAGCTCTAACACCCTCCACTACTGCCGTCGAGGCCTTCCGTCCACTCGAGCACCGACGCCCCTTGTCGCTCCTATTCCTCTCCTATATCGCCTAGCACACTCAAAGGAAGAGAGAAGAATCGGATATGGAGATAGAGGGGAGGTTGGAGGAAGAATAGATGGCCCTGACATGTGGGGCCCACTCGCCACGTCAGCCAAAACTGGCCACTATACTGCCAAGAGACCAAAGTTGACACGATATTGTGAGTTGTGGGATGGACTATACCTGTTATTTCAGTTTAGGGAAGAAATTCAGACTTGATGACAAATTGAGAGACTAAAGTAAACTTATTCCGGAAAACCAAAACCTAAGTTTTGAGTTCAAAAACTAGGCAACTAGGCTTCTGTATAACATGCTAATCATGGACTAGTCCAATATCTAGCACGTTTATTTAAGCTAGGCATTTGGCTGCGGGTTCCATGGACCAAAGCAGGAAGCCTATGGAGTAATACCTTCATCTCAAAATACACGTAATAGGTTGGACACGGGTATTAAAAAAGCATGTCGACTTGAATGGAATAAGGTTGTGATTGATTGAAAAGAGAATATAGGTGGAGAATTTGTTATACTTTAGGACAAATTTTAAATGCTATAAATTGTTATATTTTAGAATGGAAAGAGTATCATTTTGGTCGCAACACTTCTAATTAAGAACCTAAGACTATTATCTCAAAACTCAAAAACTTTATATCAAACCCTTGAACTTTCGAATCAAAGTTCTTCTACTCAAAATTTCAAAAGTTTTCTACCCATAACTTGTGTGGAGCTCACCATCATGTCTGTATCCAAGGAACAAGGAGGTGCATGCCATTTGTCAGTGTCCCTGGGATGAGGCAAGGGGCTCATCAGCGAGGAGGAAGATGAGGACATTGATGTCTCTAGAGGTAGAAAAAAAAAGGGATCTAAGCTTGTCGGCACCTTTCCATGGAGGATGAAAATATGTAGGGGAAGTGACATGACGGGAAAGATGAAGAAGGGGTTCCCGAGCTTATCGACATCTCGCTAGGAAGGAGGAACATGGGGGTAGGAGGAGTGGCGGGGCTCACTAGCGGCTGGCGTTGAGGCTAGTAGGAGGGAGGGGGAGTGGCGCTCATCAGGTGCGTGGTGGCTTGAAGGAACTGATGCGGAGCAGCAATGGTGGGAAATTAATCTAGAGATCCAATGGATGGGATAAAGACTAAGCCTACGTTTAGATCAGATTCTTGACTGGGCTACTTCCATCGTTTTCCGTGAGCACACTCCCCAAACAGCTAAGCATTGCGTTTTACTGAAAGAATTTCTATATAGAAGTTTTTTGAATAAAAACCAAATAAAGCCATCTTTCCGGTGTATAATTAATTAATACACTAATATTTGTCTCGTTTTACATGCCAAACTCTGGCCGTTACGAACGAAGCCTAAATATATGAGATAAGATGTTTGCTACCTTGGTCACTCGTGAGCATTCATCAATTAGTTTCCCTCACAGTTATATGCAGGGGCGGATCCAACGTGGGTGCCCACAAGACCCATGGATGTCCCCCGGAGCACCCCTTCAATTTTTTCACCATGAATAATAAACTAAAGGTCCCTAGATGGCTGGAGGTTGAAGAAACTGTATAATCAAGCCTCCAATTTTTTGTTTCTGGATCCGCCCCTGGTTATATGTGAGTAATCATAGTTTTTTCTTTCTTTCTTTTTGGAATTAGGAGCTTCATTCTCAGTCGAATTAAGTAGGATCTTAGACTAGACAATCACACATTCGTTGTTTGTTGCTACCAGCGCCCATATCTAGACTCTAGCCCCGAATACATATTCAGCACACATTTGTGTGCTGCCATATATTTGCAAGAGTAGCAACTGTAATCAATATCGAAACAATTAAACAAGTTCTATACTTCACCCAGGAATGAACATATGCTGAATATACGTCTGTCCGATGGGAATGAGAAAAAAAATTCAATAGATCACCTTGTCAAACCCATGCTCGCATGCCATATGAACACCATCTCAAACTGCTATAGCCTCAGCAATAGCAGACGATACTAGCAGCCATTTGTTATATATTCTGAACATGCCCCGATCATCTCTAATGGCCGTAATGAAGCTCCAAAATGACCATCTTCGACAAAGGCACCATCGACATTAATCTTTACAGCGTTATTATGAGTTAGAAGTTTATAGTTCCATTTTCTGCAACATTCTCTCCATGACATTAATCTCCAAATGATGTCCATTGAACGGTCGCGGTGATACTCTTCAGAATTTCTCGATGGCGTATAGAATTCGTCGCATTCCATATTGACCATATTTCCACATATTTGTCACCAGTTGTTCTTCTTGGACCAGGTTAATTACCAACAACCAGATCTTGTGCCCATGTATGCGAGATTCCTATCGCGCGCAGACGCGCCAGCTAGCTAAGTCGCGAGTGTTTTCGGCCCATATTCTCGTGCGCGGCCCACTAGCTACAACCTCCTTTTTCTTTTTTTCCGCAACGAACTGCGCAGGACTCGAATTTTTTTTCCTTGCAGGACTTGAAGAAAAAAAATCGTATACGTAATTAGTTATCGATAATTATGGTATATTAAGCTAACCTTTCTTTTTTTTCTCAGCACAAAAAAATTGAAAATCTACAACTTTCAATGTAAATTTTGAAAACTTTTAAGTCGAATTTTGAACTTTTAAGTTAAATTTTGAAAGCTTTCATCTCAAATTTTAAAAAAATTCAACCCGAATTTGAAACCTTTCGACCTAAATTTGAAAAAATTTCAACTCGAATATTCAAATCTTTTGACCAGAATTTAAAAAACTTTCAACTCGAATTTAAAACTTTCAACTCAGATTTGAAAACTTTCAACTCAAATTTAAAACTTTCAACTCAGATTTGAAAACTTTCGAGTCAAATTATAAAACTTTTAACTTAAAATTTAAAAACTTTCAACTCAACTCAAATTTGAAAAATTTCAAATCAAAATTAAAAACTTTGAGTTATATATTTGTAAAGAGGTGTGCGAAAGATTGAAAAAAATCGGAAAAGAAACGGCGAAAAAGAAAAAGAAAAACGCATCCGGAGAGACCAAAATCGGAAAAAAGGTGCAAAAAGAAAAAAAAAAGATAAGGGAGGGCTGGGGTGGGGCAGCTGACGTGCGCGCCAGCAATTTAGTTGGCGCGTATGCGCGCAGTAGTCACCCCATGTATGTGAATAATGCAAATATGGTATTTTAATACTCCTGTTAATTCCTTCGCTACTCGTTAGAATAATCCTAGGTTTGGGCACAACTTGTCTACTCATCAAACAAATAGGTGTCGACCTGCTAGCTGACCGGGCTCACTGAACCCCAAAACTTGGCACATGGCAGCGTGACACGTCCCAACCTCTCTTTACTCTCTAGCCCAGCCCAACAGCACGTACCACAGCCCAGCACAAAAGAAAACTAAACTTAATCTCTTTCCCCTCTTTTTTTTTAAGACCGGAGATCATCGTGTCAGAGCGCAGCGGGAGACGATACATAATTACAGATTTGTGGAGCGATATGATATGGTCGACCGTGCACGTTGCCATGTTGTGACGGAGGCGTTACATTACACGCCGCGCTGCCGCGTACGCGTACGCACACCACTCCGCAGCCCGCACCCGCGCGCTAGTCGGCCCCGTCCCACCCATGTCGCGGGTACACGCGCCCGCCTACTGTTTGTCTGCATCCATCCATCCGTCCATGCAGCCATGCTGCCAAGTGCCATGCACGCGGCAACCCTGCCACAAGCTGCTACAGTGCTACGATCTGAGCTGAACCTTCCACCCCCACATCACCCCATGCCGCCATGCCCCCCGCGGCGCCGCTGGTCCTCCCGCTCCCCCCGACGTGCGCGACGTCGATCGGCATGTCGCGCGCGGCAGCAGCGCCCGCGTCCGCGTCCGCGTTCGCCGAGGCGGCTGGCTTCCGCTGCTCTCGATCGGTTGAGCGAGCGCGGGCGCGCGTGGCGAGCACGACTCGATCGAGGTCCATCGAGGTGGGCTGTGTGGTGCTCGGTGAATGTCTTGCTCTGCTCTACTCTGCTTTTGTGGGGGGAGTTTTCTCCGATCTCCTTGAGATCTGCGACCACATGCCGGCCTGATCTCGCTGCTCCTCCTATCCTTCCTTCTTTCCAAAAAAAAAAAAAAAAAAACAACAACTTCTTCCCCATGTGCGTTGCGTCGCCGGCTAGTACTACTATGTTTTTTTGGGTTGTTTAGTTTGTTCCTGGTGGTGCCTGAGGATTAACGAAGCTGCTAATGTCGGATGGCTCAACTTGGCCGGCCGTCGATCGTCTCAAAGGTTAGGTAATTAGGCTGGCTGTGGCTGGTTGTCGTCTGCTACATTGGCCGAATCACCTAGAAACCAACTCCTATACTCTCCTAAGTTATATAGACTAGATTACTAGTTTACCACCCTACAAGAGCTCCTAGTTTGGATTGTTAGGGAAGCAATGATCAAGCCCCCCGTGTTTTCAACGCTGTTACCCCATTTTATCAGTGCCATTTAGCCTGAACCTATACGTCTGCCTATTTGGATGCATAAATACTCATTCTTTGCTAGTGCGTCAGCTAATATAAACGAAAAAAAAAAGAATTAAACTGTCACGTACACGCTAAACACTCGTTCTTTAACACACACTTAAGCAAAATCTTTCCCGCGGGCAAACTATTGCTTTCGGTGTACAAACTGAGGGAGAAAATTTAACCACATCTGACGTTATAATTGCTGACTATCTGATATCCAGTCGTTAGCAATCTGACGTCCATTGAATATGTACAGTTGTACCCACCCTTAAAGTATGCAACGAAAATTTTCATCTCTGATTGATCTCCCAAACCTGATTAAGCCGCCTCAAGCATCTGTCCAATTTGGAATTTTGTGATCCTCTCCTCTCCCTCTTTAACTGAAGAACATATATATGCTCTCACGCACACAGAACCGAACACTGCATACCCAAATCTCCAATCATATGCAACGGACGGACAGACAGCTCATTCTGCAGCAAAGGGACACCAATTTGTCAATTTCACATCCCCCACAACCCATATACTCACCCATCATCTTGTCCCCCTCATTTGCTTCAACCCCAGCACGCACGCACTCGTGTGCCCTCTCGATCACAAACTGCAAAAAATGAGTCCCCCAATCATGGCGCGCAAGAACTGATTCTAGTTCTGCGACGATCAGCGGAGTTTGGCGATCTAGCTTGATTACTCCTGCAGCTCTGCTTCTGGGCTTTAATGGGTGAGTTAGTTTAAGTAACCTGTTCTTCTTTCGTTGAATTCGGCATTGTTCTGCGCATTTTGTATGATTTGTTTGTTTGTTTTGGTCATACTGGCGTATACTTCTGCAGTTCCTAGCACAACATTCCATGTAGATTTGTTTTCATGGCTGCCCTTTTTTACTCCTCCCTTTCCCTCTCCTTGATTTGGACAGTTTGAACCCCATTTGAACTTGTGGTCCTACAGTGATCTTCTCTGCTCTGTTCGTACTGTAAAGAAACCCAGCGATCTTTCGCCGGATACAAGTATAAATCCTCGGTTTCCTTCAACACTGTACCTCCAGTTCTTGGTGTGCTGATCGATTAACAATTTGAAGGATATTTTGGTGCATCAGTTCCCATAGATTTGTGAATCGTGAGGATCTTTCTCTGTATCAATGGAGATCATGAGAGATGCTGCTTCTCATTCTTTAAGTGTTTTCTCTTCTTGAAGAGATGTGAGGGGGTCACATCGTAAGCTTGCTTTTGCTGGGATTCTTGATGCTGCTTCTTATTCCTTCCACTAAAGCTGCCCATCTTCTTCCTCCTTTTGCTTTCTCCCTTTGATCAGTTCGATGTCCGCAAGATTCATCCAAAGCCGTGCCCGAAGCAGCAGTTGTTGCTGATTCCATCCCATTCCACACAAACACCCATCATTGATCGATCTTGCTGCTGTCCATGTTGGCCAAAAGCAATTCCCAAATCCCAATGCAAATCCAAGAAGTAGCGATTCTTTTGATGTGTCGTCACTGTCGCCACTGTGACTGTCCATACAAGAGCTCACATTGTTGCTGCTGCTCGTGTTGTTCTTGCCAAGAAGGAGGAGGAGGAGGAGCGGCGGCGGCGGCGGCGGCGTTGAGGCGGCCACCGCGATGCTGAGGCGCGGCGCGGTGGTGGTGGACAGAGACGGTGAGGTGGTCGTCGCGACCAAGATCCGGAAGCGGTGCGCGCTGTCGTCGTCCGGCGCGTCGGACCCGCTGAGGAAGCTGAGGCTGAAGAAGCGAGGGGTGGTGGTGCTCGGCCGGAGAGGCGTGGGCGGCGGCGGCGGCGTCGTGTTGTCGCCGTGGTCGAGCAGGAAGATGTCGGAGTCGTCGTGGAACGGCAGGCGCTGCCACGGTGGCGCCGCCGCCGCCGCCGCGGACGACGGCACGCGCTCGGCGGCGTCGGCCAGGAAGCTCGTCGGCGCGCTCCGGCAGCTGAGCTCGCCCGACGACGAAGATGCCGCTCGCCGGAGCTCGGCTCACCGGCGATGCGTGTCGGTGGAGGTGAGTGCGCGCGATCGTTTGTTCCACTAATTAATCCTCCTGATCCATTTGTTTCTCTAATCGAGCTCGTCCTCGTTTTCGTTGCAATAGTTCTCAAAGAGATCAAGAACAAGGAGCAAGGCATCGGAGGCTGATGGACAGAGAAGCTGGCACAACGGCCATGGCCACTGGTTTCCAGACATGCTCAGCAATGGCAGCACAATGGAGGTAATTAACTCTGAATTTTCCTCATTTGCACAGAACTCTATTTAGAGTATCATTTTTTTCTCTAACTTCTCCATTTAGAAATTATTTCGAGCAAGAATCTTGACCATCCTCATTAAGTTTGTCAGCATGCATCATTGGCAAATTATTTGGAAATTATTTTTAGTTGTCAGCATCTCATGTGCTGCTTATCTCTGCACAAAAACAGAACAGAACAGAGCGATTCGGTGCCTGATTATTATAGGTTGCAAATTCTTTTTTGAAAACTGATAGGTTGTAAATTCTGTCAAAGAAAAACATCACTCATTTCAAAGAATGCATTCTCATTGGCACATGCATCATTGTCCATCTCTTCCACAAGCTACGAGCTATGGCCGGTACAAGAACACCTAGTAGTAGTTTATTCACCTGATAACGCATGCAGTTAGGCGAGGCATTTGTCATAGTAGATCGGTTGCTGATTCTTTAGATTTATTATGCGAGCGGCGGAGTAAACTAGTCAAATTCAAGCTGGAAATTGGAGCCATCCTGTTGAGAGACCTTGAGATGGAAGATTCGGGCTGTTTGTCAAAGTTAGTTGCAACTTGTTTTTCAATTGAGGCGGCAGTTGTAGAAGAACAGGGCCATGTCATGTTGGCCCAGAGACAGCCTCAGCTCCTACTGTGTGTCTGTCAACAGCATCTAATCATACCGTCCCTTTTGTCTGATCGATTCATCACTGCTCTAATCATACCGTCCCTTGTGTCTGATCGATTCATCACTGCTCTACTGCACCCCTCTAGGATTTGATACGGGAAAAACTTCGTGTTTTTTTATAGAGTAAAACACACTAGGGATTCAAAGTTTCACTTAGATACACAAACTTACAAAACGCGCATCAAAATCTCTAAACTTGGTTTAATATATCATCCTGTTATAAAAGTTAGTCGATATAGTGAAACGACGACTAACCTTCCCGATCGCTTCAGTCGTTGATCACCCAAGACATGCTAGATGACGACACAAGAACACACGATATTTGTTAACGAGGCTCAGCCGAAGCCTACATCCCCGGGGCTCTGATTATGGGTGCTCCTCCGCAACCAACATAGCACCTAGTCGCTATTAGTCCATGGTACGCTGCCATCATCTCCCTGCGTGTCTACGCTACATTGTAGTCGCCATAGTTACATTGTGGTGCCCCCCTCTCTATTTAAGAGAGATACCGGGTTACAGAGTACGACTCTAACTCCACCCCCTAACATCTATTACAACTCCAAGTCCAACTGTAACCAAATAGGACTAGTATATTTGACACCTATTTTAACAAACTCCACCTTGGCGAATATACGCCACCCAGAAGTAGTAGAATCACCATACCGATCCACCTGTCCTCCAGACTTGGGTTGTCTTCTTTGCAGCTTCACCGCAAGCCGCCCGACGAGTCTACGCCAGACCCATCGTCTTCAAGAGACTCCGCTATCCCTGTAATTTCTTCCTCTTAATTCCACCTGCAACAGTGCTCCACCTTTTCACCTATCATCTCAGTCGTCTTGCCAAGCGAAATTGGATTTCTTCCTAGCTGTCACATCATTGACTCCCTGAAGACCATGTTCACCTCCATCTTCCATCTTAAATTTGACTTGATCTAATCCATGCCCAGATAACCTGCATCATCACCAAATAGATAAATCAAACTCACCAGACTTGAAGATAACCCTTTCTTCCTTGTTGTCTTATGAACCGATCTAATAAATCTAACATTCTCGCTTTCCCGCATCCGTAAACTGAACCTATAATACTTTGAGAAAATTCACCGTTGCCTTGAATCACTTGAAGAAATTAACACCATAGCACTTGCTTTTCCTCTTCAGTGACGCAGATTTCATATATCCCCATCATGCCAACCTGCATATCTTGGATATATCATGTACTGCCAAACAGTATCGTCGACCCTATCAACGATATTTGACCCGTTGTTGCCCGGGACTTTTTCTTCACCTCTGGCATAACTCCATATATCTCAACCCCTTATCGAGTCCCAGATATATCACATTTCCGTCAGATAATTCCATATGTGACCTGACTAGCCTGTTGCCGACAGTCTACTCGCCCTTCACACTTGTAAGCTATCCATCTGTAGAACCTTCTTGTCCTTCTTCTGGATCCGTTAACAAGTTCTTGCAATAAACCACACGTCCATTGAACCCGGTCTAACCGTCCAAACTCCGCAGTCTAACCAGTCCGTCGGTCTGACCACCCTGCCGGTCCAGTTTAACCGACATAGATGCACACCTCGCGCACCTTCTCCCGAGCCGTATACTAACCACATCACCTTGATCACCACAAAGCTGCACCATGCCTCCCGTCTTGTGCCTGTGAGCCACGCCGCCAAACCAACGCTTTGCACCAATCATCAAGTTCTGGACTCCAGGTAAATATGATCTCCTATCCATGCCAACGCAACCGAGTTAGCTCATGCCATCTCGTCCATTGTATGGATATATCAATTCTCCCCTGATGAAGTCCGTTGCTTGCTTTGATCTCCATGCATTGCTCAATGGCCTGTGACACCACTGCACAAATACTGCATCTTGCTTGCTTTCCACGTGACCATCCCTTAGTAGTGCCACACCTTGTGCTGTGCATCCAATCCTGGGCCTGTTGACCATCATGCATACACATACACATGTATGCAATTAATCTACCACGTATCCATATTGTCCATGCATTAGCTTAATTATTGCACTACCAATTCCTTACTGCTTGCAGCTAAGTAAATTGCTCGGTCTGTCTCTCGCCTCGAGCCAGAATAGAACCACCAACAAACTTGCCTGATTGACCAGATCCACGTGCACGTGACACTCGAGCCTCGAGACAATCCGTCGCCGCTTGGCCAGCTCCTCTGACCCACACAACCCCTGATGCTGCTGCCTCCTGCTTCTTCCCAGGAGCCATCGCGCGCACGCCTGGGTGCATGCCGGCGACTGCTACCGAAACCGTCGGATCACTGCCGCCTCTGACCTGTCGAACACAAGCTGCAGTACACCCCTGCCGAGATGTGTCTTCCAAAGCTTGAGTCTTCCTGTTGTTGTTAAGTCTTCTCGGTATTGGTCCTCACGTTTCAAGGCGACACAGATTCTGGCCTCATCGATCCGACTCGACCCACATGTGTAAGTCTGATCTGAGATGAACTCCTTAAGCCGTGGTCGAATCCTCCTTGCATCGTGAACCCATCTCCGAGTCAAGTTCAACTTCATACCCAACCTCTCTGCTTTCTCTTCTACATCTCTGCATCCGTACCGTGGTGATTATGCTCTCCCGATGACAATATGTGCATGTGTGCGTGTATAGCACGTACTCAATACATGCTGTCCGTGCCCTCGCACTCACCGCAGTCGCAACCCTCGTGTTCACCGTCCACGATCTCATCGTCATCGGCCCTGCACGTCCGCCGCGCCGCGCCGCGCCACGCTAGCCGGTTTTGCCCTTCCGTCAGTGGCCTCCTTGCCGCCGCGGATCCGTGTTCGCCGCGTGCGTCAGGCGCGCCGTCCATGGCGCTACCCCTCCGATCTCTCCGAACGCCTTCGGCCACGCCCGGCCTCGTCTTCCGGTCACGCTCCGCCATCGTCAGTCTGATCGTGAGTGAGGTCGTCGCCTCTGCAACGTCCTCGTTGTCGCCATCGATCTCATCGCCACGACTGACGATCTCCTGTCGATGCGCGATCCCACCTCATGTTTCCTTCTCCACATGTCTTCTTGATCCAATACTGAAACCTTCTGCTCTGATACCACTTGTTATAAAAGTTAGTCGATATAGTGGAACGACAACTAACTTTCCCGATCGCTTCAGTCGTTGATCACCCAAGACATGCCAGATGACGACACAAGAACACACGATATTTGTTAACAAGGTTCAGCCGAAGCCTAAATCCCCGGGGCTCTAATTATGGGCGCTCCTCCCCAACCAACATAGCACCTAGCCGCTATGAGTCCATGGCACGCCGCCATCATCTCCCTGCGTGTCTACGCTACATTGTAGTCGCCATAGTTACATTGTGGTGCCCCCTCTCTCTATTTAAGAGAGATGCCGGGTTACAGAGTTCGACTCTAACTCCACCCCCAACATCTATTACAACTCCAAGTCCAACTGTAACCAAATAGGACTAGTATATTCGACACCTATTCTAACACATCCCGGTCCAAAGTCTTGTTTGACCGTGGTTTTATCAACGTGGCATACCACGTGGATGACGATATGGAATTTTTTTTACTTTTTCTCCCTTCTTTTTTCTTTTTTCCTCCCTTCTTCTCCTTTTTTTCTCCAATTTGCCTCCCTCCTCTTGCTTCTGCCGCCGAGGCGCCGATAGGTGGGGCCGAGGCCCACCTGTCAGGGCTTTCTTTCTCCTCTGATCGGCAACCGCCATGGCCACCCCTCATGCGCATGTCGCTCCCCACGACGCCATTGTCCTCGCGCCTTCCCGCCTCATCCACACGTGCGGGGGACGCGGTCGTCGCCCACCTCCCCACTTCCCTACGCAAACCGGCAGCTGAGCCGAGCCGCCCGAGCCGACGTCGCCGCCTTCTCCTCCTACTTCAAATCTGCTTGCCTCGAGCACGATTCCAACCTCCCAAGCATATAAGGTCCACCCCTGTGCTCCCCTCCACCATTTTCCCCAACTCCCCGAGCCTGTCGTACCCTCTATTGCGTCCTCCGTGCCGCTCCCTCTTGCCACCATCTTTCGGCTGGGTGCCACCGCGCTGCTCCACTCACACCGCCGGCACCACTGCTCTGAGGGCTACCGTGGTCGCCGCTCCGCTCCCCCAATCCACCACCGTAACCCTACCTCCACCACGAGCACAGGCTCCGCCGCCCACCGCCGATCTCTGGCCGTGCATTGCCGACACCCTAGCTACCATCGTGCTAAGCCGCCACCATAGATGGCTTTGCCGCTGCGCTCTGCGTCCTGGCCGCAACTTCGCCCCTCCAATCCACCACCAATTAGGCATCATGCCCTTTAGCCTCTTCCTCTTACAGCAGTGACACTTGGCGTCGGTGGCAGTTGGCGTGGAGGAGCTCGAGGTGGCTCTAGCGGAGGAAGAAGATAAAAGAAGAGGATGAAAAAGAGAAGGGGGAAAGGAAAAAAAAGCCATGTCATCATTCACATGGCGTACCACATAGGCAAGACCATGGTCAAACAAGTCTTTAGACCGGGATGATACAATAAACCAAGTTTAAGGACTTCGATTGCTTTGTAAATTCGTGAACCTAAATGAAACTTAATAACAAGTTCGTTGGTGCATTTTACTCTTTTTTATAAGTACGAATTCTACATGTTAAAATTTACGTGTAACCGTTTTGTCACACACCTAGTCTAACTTTAAATTACTAGTCCTTCCATTTTATATTATAAGTTGTTTGATTTTTTCTTAGTTAAAGTTTTTTAAGTTTGACTAAGGCCCCATTCTTTTCTCTAACAAAAGTTGGATGAAAATTTGGATATACGTAGCATGCTTTTCAAACCGCTAAACGTTGTGTCTCATGTGAAAACTTTCTATATGGAAGTTGTTCTAAAATATTAGATAAATATATTTTTCAAGTTTGTAATAATTAAAACTCTTAATCTTCATCTTTATCTACATGAGTTTCAAACACCACCTAAGTTAAAAAAAATAGCAACATCTACAACACTAAATTAGTTTCATTTAGTTTAACATTTAATATATTTTGGTAAAACATTTGTTTTGTATCGAAAACATTAGTATATTTTTCTACAAACTTATTCAACTTTTAAAAGTTTGACTAAGAAAAATGTGAAACGACTTATAATATAAAACATAGGGAGTACTGGTTAGGACTTGTTCGATTAATGTCGAGAGATTGGCAGTCCTAACGTTCCTTTTATGTTTATAAGCAAAAATTTAAATTTTAAGACTTAACTTTGTAGTTGATTTTGTAGCTTTCCAATCGAAGTTTATTTTACAGTATTTATTTTTAAATAGCTAAAAACACGTATATAAAAGTTTAACCATAAGTTTTGTTAGTTGATAATAAGCGATTCAGATAAACATAACTGATTACTGTGTACTTATTCAGAGTACTGGTTTCTTGCAAGTGCCGGCAACCCTCATTGATCAGTTTGTACTGTGAAAAAGCTTCAAAATAATTTATTTTTTTCGCCTGAATGTATTGAGAAGGAGAAAAACACGACAGAAAGCTCTTGAGGAAGATGACATATTCGATTTCAAATTCTCTCCCTGCGTGTTTTTTTCAGGTGCACTCATGGCGATCTCAAGACTGCGCTTCACCATGCAGAGGGGGAGAAACAATGGCGCCACACCTGAAGGAGGTGTGCAGCAGCCTGGCCGCGTCCAAGGAGCTCGTCAAGGCTCTCGCCGGCATCTGGGGCCCCGGCGACGGCGCCCTGAACCCGTCGACGGCGTCGTCGCTGCTCTCCGCGCTGCGCGCCGAGCTCGACCTGGCGCGCGCCCACGCGCGGCGGCTCGCCAAGGAGGACCGGCGGCGCGGCGACGAGGCGGCGCGGGCGAGGGCGCGGCTCGCCGAGGACGCGCGGGAGTGGGGGCGCCGGCAGAGGGAGAAGGCCGCGGCGGCGGTGCGCGTGGCGGCGGCGGAGCTCGACGGCGAGCGGAGGTCGCGGCGGCGCGCCGAGAGGGTGAACGCCAAGCTCGGGAGGGCGCTGGCCGACGCGGAGAGGGAGCTGGCGGCGTCCCGGAGGGAGCTGGAGAGGGAGAGGCGGTCGAGGGAGCGGCTGGAGAAGGTGTGCGACGAGCTCGTCCGGGGCGGCCTCGTCGCCGCCGGCGGCGGCGGCAGGGGAGGCGAGGAGGAGGTGGAGGAGATGAGGCGGGAGGCGGAGAGGGCGCAGGAGGAGCTGGAGAAGGAGCGGGAGATGCTGCGTCTCGCCGACGAGCTCCGCGAGGAGAGGGTCCAGATGAAGCTGCTCGAGGCGCGGCTCCAGTTCGAGGAGAAGAACGCCGTCGTCGAGCAGCTGCGCGACGAGCTCGAGGCCTTCCTCGGGAGCAAGAAGGATCGGCAGCAGCAAGAAGAACCACCGCCGCCTGACGCAGACGACCACCGCCGCCGCCGACCCGACGGCCATCAGTTTCAGTCCATTCTTGTTGCCGTAAACAAGAACGGAGATCACGAAGACGACAACGACGGCGACGAAGAAGACGACGGCGGTGGCCGCGGCGAGTGCGTCGCCGAAGATTCAGACGGCAGCGAGATGCACTCCATCGAGCTGAACGTGGACGGGAACAGCAAGGACTACAGCTGGAGCTACACCACGGCTTCCAAGGACATGACGACGACGGCGAGGTCCAAGAACGCCGCCGCCATCGACCGGCGATCGCAGGAAGGCGCCGGCGAGGAGGACCGGTGGGACGACGGAGGGTGCAGCGAGAGGAGCAAGGATCTGGACGAGGAGGACGCCGAGAGGTACGAGGCGATCAAGAACCTGAGGGAGCAGATGCTGGCCGGCCATGGCTTCGTCCTCGTGTCGCAAGAATGGGGACAATGCTAGCTCACTGACATCGATCTTCTCCCTCCCAAGCTTCGTCACCTTTGATACTACGCCAGATTTGAACAGGGAAGATCTTGACAAGAGAGAAGAATATGTTGTGATGATTCATAGTTGCTCTGTTTCCTCGATCAAACCGTGTGCATAGTTTTGTGTGGTCGCTAGCTTCTTGGGCGATCATTCTTTTCCATAGGAATGTGTTTGTGCTGCTGAAAGTGTCTTTTAATTTATACCACATTTGCATTCAATTTTGATGTTTAAGTTGGCATTCCACACTTGGTACTAGGATCAGATATCTCAAAAGTTTTTGTAAATAAACATAGAGATCTGTTTGGTAATGAAATTTCTCATGTATACGTTTTGCCAATTTTGATGTCAATTGTTTGGTGAAGTAATATATAACTATACTAATTGAACATTTTTATGGAAGCTCTCATGAGACCACTTTAACTAGAAATATTTGACTATTGATTAGACCCCTAGATAGTATTACCAAGACAATATACTCCTCCGTCCTAAAAAAAAAAAGCAATTCCTAGCATTCTAAGGTAGAATTAGTGAAAAGTGGGAGTGAGAATGACTATAATGCCCTTAATTATTGAAAAAAATAATAAAAGTGATAGGTAAGTAAAGGATATTAAAATAATAAAACTTCTCGTTTTACGTGCTGAGGGTACGTAGGATGGTAGAAGTTTGTTTTTTTAACAAAATTTAAACTCTAGAAGTTGAGTTTTTTTGGGACAGAGGGAGTATCTGCATTTAACATTGTGGACTACATTAAGAACCTATCCATTCTTCATGTTGTGGGAATTGAGACTTCAAACCGTATACAAATCTTTTTATTGATTTGAAATTTCATACTTATAGCAAAACATGAAAAAGAACATGAGTGCAGCACGATATTTATTAATTAAGAATTTTAGAATGACTACATCACAAAAAATCTCATTTAGTACTTTTAAAGAGTAAAATATATATGTCCAGTCCTTAAACATAAGCGGTGGTGTCACCTACATCCGCAAACTTAAAAATTACACGTTTAGATATATATGATGTTAGTTTAACAAATCACAGTAGGTCCAATTTTCGTTTGAGTGGGGCTGACCGCCGACGTGGCGCTCCATGAAAGTAACAATAGCCATGTAATGCCCGGGTTGACGTTTAGTGAAACTAATGTACAATGTTTGGCTGTTTGGGAACATATACAATTGGATCAGCCTTGGTAGCATCAGTTGACTGCAGCTGCATAGTGGTTGAACCTTTGGTTCCGTTGATAGGGAGGTTAATTCCAAGTTAACTCTACTTTATCTCCCCTCCACTTTTGGTCCGGTTTTGCAACTACATTCAAGATGCATTTTCATTCGTGAGATTTCACTTCTTTTTTACACTTCATTAGTTGGGCTTAGATTATTTCACACCTTTTCAATTAGGATTCGATTGTTTGATATTCATAGCCACTGTCATACACTCATGTGATCCCACATATCATTGCCATCACAAGTGTTACACCGAATAGTGTGTCAAATTATCAATTTTACATTTTCATTAGGGAGGGGAAGAAACGGAAACTCATAGCTGCTAATATGTCTGATCAAGAATGAACGATCTACTGGGACATTGATTGTTGGGTTTAGTTCTACATCGGTAATTGATGATGATGGAGCACGACTTAAAAGTAGGGCAGTTCTCACCTATCAGACTAGTTTTTTGGGTTGTGTAGGCCCATGACCTAAAGTTGTGGCTCCGATTAGACCTATAGTAGAGCAGATCCAATGTGATCTAGATGGCCCATGGTTGATGGATCGGGCTGCATAATCTAACACTGATGAATCAAAGCATTTGTTGGTGTACCTTTTGCGCCAAACCCATCATTACTGGGCTTCAGCCCAACAAATGGTTGTCATCGATGGGCCAAGCCAACCTGCTGAAACTTAAAAGAAAAGAAATTCGAACTCTTTGTTACGCACTTGCCTTCCGTTTCCTAGGTGGCCTTTTCGAATTTGCTATATATTAATTTGTCGACAAATTTTCTACCAAAAATTTGACTGATGTAATTACAGTACCATCGTAGTGTAATTACATTGTAACTTGCATGTAATTACACTGTAACTATAATGTAATATGTATGTAACTTTCAAAAATCTCTCCATAACATTTATTTCGATAAAATGGAGGTTGTGAGAATAAATTCTTTCACATATATGTGTGATGTGATTTTTTTTTCTTCCTCACCAGAACAAATTTTGTAATAGATCTAACGATTTAAAATTACGTTTAACTTATATACAAGTTACACTGTAGTTATATGCAAGTTACAGAGTAATTACATACAAGTTACAGTGTAATTATACTACGATTGTACTATAATTACATCTGTCAAATTTTCAGAAGAAAATTTGTCGACAAATGTATAGGTGGTCCCGTCCTTTTTTAGCCAACTTTTTAGTTGTTCATCGGTGTTCCGCGCGTGCCAACACTGTAGATTTTTTAGAGAGGAAATAATAACTGTAGATGGTTCCAGAACCTACACACATTGACACATGTAATTCTCACCTCTCTTTTTTAGTAACAGATACTACAACTATCTACATCTACCCGTCGTTCTAAGAAGCAGATAAATCGAATTTTACCATCGGATAAACAAGCGCTCTCTCTCTTCTTCTTTATTTTTTTGTTGAACCGCTTCAATTCTGATGCATGTGGATAACGGATGTAATCCCGGACACGGCCGTATCCTCAGGGAGAGAGAGAGAGAGAGGGAGCTGTACGCATGCGTACGTATGTATACACCCAAGTCAGCATTTCCAGCTGCTACGCACACCATGTACGTGCACAGATCATCACCAAGAAGCATATGCATGATCGTCCTGGCAGCTATGCCATGGCTTTGGCAGCTCAGTACGTGACCCGGCCGCGCATCGCATCATCGTCTCGTGTTAACGTTTCTCTTTTTCTGTAGCCGCCTCATTGTCATTGCCTCAAGCCTCCGAGATGGCGTCCATTTCGGCTGTTCTGGCCTCGTGGCAGCGTGCGATCCATCGGACGGACGGCTGGCGGCTGGATCAGCGTTGCGTCGCGACGAGCGGTGCCGCCCCCTGCCCTGTGCGCTCGATCGATCAGTCGGTTCCTTCCCGCTAGGGATGAAAATAGATCGAATACGGTCCGAAATTAGCTCTATCATATTCGTTTTCATAATTCTTTTCAGGATCGAAATCGGAATCGGAAACCCGGATATAAAAACAGAATCGAATACAAATACGGAGCGAATACGAAGCGAAACGGATACGGTGAAGAATATTTATCGGAATAAAAAACCCCTCACTACTCACAAATGATTTTTGCTATTGTGTATTTGTATTTCTAAATCATGCTCTATCATGTTATTGTATTTTTACTGCTATTATTTTTGCCATTTTTTTTGACTTTGTTTTATCAATTAAAAATTTGAATTTCAAAACTTCAAATAATATTTGGAAGTAGTAAATAAATTTAGTTGAAAAGGTCATGAACATAAAAGTTGTAGAACTCATCAAGACATACAATTTTTATTTTGGTCATTTCTTTATCTGACAAAGTGATAGTAATATTGTTCATAAAATTTACATCTCTCTTATAGTTTATAAAACCAAATGAGATATATGTAAATTTTATGAATAATGTTACTATCACTTTATCGGATGAAGAAATGACCAAAATAAAAGTTATAGATCTTGATGAGTTATATAAATTTTTTATTGATGACTTTTTCAGTTGAAATCATTTAGTATTTGAAAACGTTGTTTGAAGTTGTTATATTTTTAAATTCAAATTCAAACTATTCAAACAAAGTCATATAGAGAAATGACCAAAATAAAAGTTATAGATCTTGATAAATTATACAATTTTATTTTTGACAATTTTTCTGTTTGAAATCATTTACTACCCAAAAAAATTATTTGAATTTCTTATATTTTAAAATTCAAATTTTATATAGTTCAATCAAACTCTGATGAAGAAAGATCCGAGTTTCAAACGGACTTCAATTAGACCCCTACAAAAACTTAAACCAGGAATAGTCCTTTTTGGGGCGCCAGTGAGGCTGGCGTCGTCCCCCAACATAGCGGCGCCAACCACCTTGGTGTCGTGCCTGCGCCACAGTGGCACTAGGGTGTCGTGACCGTGCTGACTAGGAAGAGGGGGGCGCTAGCCACCTTGGCGCCACCCCGCATAACACGGCGCCAGCTAGGCTGGCGCACCCTTCCGCGCCCTCCTCCCCCCAACCTTCTGCCTACAGCCGATCGCTGGCGCCGTCCCCCAGACCGCGGTGCCAGGGTGGCTGGCGCCGCCCCCTCCCCCCCATGCCCTTCTGCCTCGCACCGTTGGCTGGTGCCGCCCTCTTCCTCCGTGCAGACAACAATATCACAGTTCACAATTCAATCAAATCACAGTTTTCACAGTTCACAGTTTTGTAGAATAAAACAAGTTCCAATTGCACAACTAACTACATTGACGAAAATGTCCACAAGTCCACAACTCAATCACATATTGCACACATCAAACAATGCCAAAAGTCCATCACAATCTATCACATAGTCCTCACATAGTCCATCACAATCTATCACATAGTCCTCACATAGTATATCACATAGTTCATCACATAGTATCACATAGTCCACCACATACTTCAGACTACCAACAAGTTAACACATGACAAATAGATCAACTTAATAGAAAGCACTTTTTCCGTTGCCGCCGAATAGCTTGTGAGCCCGGAGTGTACCTACATTTGAAAAACCAATGTTTAAAACATTTAAAAAACAAACTGAGAGAAATCAAATAACACATAAGAATGGTAAGCTCATTTTACTTCTTTTTCGCTGCCCGAGTGGATCGCAAGTTGTATTGGGTGGGCTGCGTCCCCTGAGGCGCATCGGGGAACTACGACATGTCTATCTCATCAGCATCTGGTGTGATGTAGACCTCATCCTCCTCCTCGTCGTCGTCGTCGCTAGGTGGAGCCGACGCCTTCCCCTTTCTCCTCCCTTGTGGAATGCGTGATGACGACTAGCCACCAACTTCTTCACACTCTTCTATCCTGATGGAGTGTCGAGCGGTACTTGGACACGCGGATTGTGGTAGTGGTGGTGGTACTCTCCGCGGTTGGTACACGTCGTCCAATCTAACCGACTTGCAACCTAATCTTGCTGCAAGTTTCCGGTATCTTTGATGAACTTTCTGCATTTAAAAAAAAGAAGTTTGTTAGGCATAACTCAAGTAATGCAAAGTGCTAAATCAATTTTACCTCTAAGATATTGCGGAGTGTGTTCTCCGTGTCCTCACCACCCCTCGGAGATTGGAGGGCATGCCCCATTTCATTCATACTCCTGAGGAGCTCTCTCG